TTGAATTAAGGAAAGAAATGTGGTGTGTAAATATCAAGCAGAGGCAGCAAGGTGTAGAATAGAAGATGCAGTCATGGTTAAGAGTTTAGATCTCATATCAGTGCAGTGGGGGAGCTACTTGAGGGTTTCTCTCTCTTCTTTTTTTCTTATTTCTTAAAGCAGCAGAGTATTGTAATCTGATTTACATTTTTAGAAGATCAACTCTGTTGTGTGGAGAATACATAGAAGGGGGGAGTATTAGTCTAAAAAAGTGATGATTTGGAGGCGAGAAAAGCATCAGTTTCTGGTTCCAGTGGTAACAGAATATCAGAGTGACTCTTCTGCCAAGAACAACTATAAAGTTTGAGTAAAATACACAAAGCAACTAATTCAAGGTCTAAGAGAACCACCATGTCATGAGAATTTGAGTAGCTACAATCCTGGAGAGAGGGATGGTACATGAGGTGAGCCCCACGTTCATAATGGCTTTAGCCTAAGCTCATTTGTCTGTTCACATCATAGGTACAGAGGCTAAGCAGAAAGTGGATGTTGGGGATGGTTGATTTCATTTCTCTGGACTAGGGAAATAGAAGTTGGAGCTTGGAACTGCCAGTGAACTGCAGACAAATAGGCCTGACATTGTGCATGCAGTTTTACTGTGAGTTGGTTGCCAACTCTTAGTCTTCTGTAGCAGAGAGCAAAAGTCCCATAAACCAAGCTGAAAACAGCAGGGAAGAGGTAAAACAGCTGATTGAAGATTTTACGGTTTTGTTTTGGCAAGGCAGAGATTATTGTTCAAGAGCAAACAAGTTATAAGGGCCCTGGAAACACTCCAGGCGTTTGTTTGAGAAAGATTACACCTTGAGAGTAAGGGAAATTTAGAAGATCAACCCCCCAAAAGACCTAAAAGTGGTGCTCTAAATGGTGCTGCCTGCCGGAAGAAAAATAAATCTACTCTGGAGAAAGATAGCATCAGAGTTGCTACAGATTTTTATATACAGTATCCATTATTCAATAAAAAATTATTAGGCATATCAGTAAACAAGCACAAATGGTTGAAGTCAACCAAAATAAAACAGACAAAACAGACCTGTGGATAATATAGATATGGACTTTTAAGTAATTGTAATAGGTTCAAGAAAATAGAAATAAAGATGAATATTACCAGAGAACTGGAATATATTTAAAAAGTCAGAAGACTACAAAATGTACGTTCTTGTAAAACATGCACAGGACTTATACAAAAATTGACCATTTGCTGAACTGTAATTCATCTCAATGAATTTCAGAGCATTGAACTCATATAAAGTATGTTCTCTAACCACAGTGGAATTAAGCGAGAATCAATAACAAAAAAATAACTAGAAAATGCTTATACGAGTGAAATTGAGAAGACTTCTAAATAACTCAGGAATAAAAGAAGAAATCACAGTTGAAATTGAAAACTATTTGGAAAGTAACGATAATGAAAATACAACATATAAAAACTTGTGCTTAGAGGAAAATAGGCTTAAGTAGGCTTTTGTGTATTTAAAAAGAAGAAAGGCTAGAAAACAGTGATCAAAGCTTTTACCTCAAGAAGCTATTTAAAAAGTAATAAATTCACTTCTGATCAAGATGGCAGAATAGATGGTCACCAGCATCACTCTCCCTCAATCTACCAATTTACAACTATTAAAAAGCAGTGAATTGCCAAGCTGGGGCTGCTGGAGCTCAGGTGAAGAGAAAGAGAGACCTACAGAGTTCATGAAGGCAGGAGAAGTTACGATGAGAGAAGGGACTGCTTGATGGTTTCGAGCCCCGGCCATTTCAAGGCTGGCCCTGGTTGAGCTTGTGGGCAAGAGCTGACAAAATCCACAACTATGCCCTTCATATGAAATTGCTTGGAGGCTGCAGGGGAGAAGAGGGCCTTGGTGGCCCCCAGGCCAACAAGAACACTAACAGGGTTCCCATGGACCCACTCAGGAACAAGGGGCCACAGCAACTGAAAAAAGGAGCCACTCAGGTCAGTGAGTCCCTGCAAGGGACCAGCGCATGGCCTGTTCCATGGGAAGTGTTTAGAGTGCGGGTGGGGGGCTGGGGGCAGTGAGACAGGCCCCTGGGGTAACAATGGGGCACAACAAGGACAGCTGATCTGCCCTCCAATCAGCACAGGACCACTCAGTGGAGACTGGTCAGGTGTATAGATCTGCAGGGGGTGCAGTTTGCTGAAAAGACTCAGGTGCAGACCAGAGTTTCCACACAACCCAGGGGTATCAGACCTCACAAGACCCAGAAGTGCTTACAAGTTCAACAATTAAAACCTGAGCTGCACAAAAAGCCTTCCCCAGAGAATCAGCAGCAAAGCAGTAGTTTAGCTTAACCACAGGGCTCGAATGCTGGTTCCCACAGGAAGTTCCCCCATGTTAGAAATAACCAAAGAACAACAAATTAGTTCCATTGCAGAGTTTAAGTGGTGGGAATAGTGAATAATCCAACACAGAACTGAAAGAAAAACTAAAAATCCCACATATCAGAGAAAAAATTCTGATATTAACCAGCAAAGGTCTAACACCACCAAAGAACACCTATAAGACCTAAAAGGACTGCTGGGGTGGTGGGGGGATGAGGGCCTCAGCCATGCCCTCCCAACATCTGCATCCAGCCCTGTGATGACCACCAGGACACCTCCAGAAGTGCTCCAGGCTTCTGAGCTGGGGTCCTGGAGGGCTGAGGGTGTCAGCTCCCCTCTGCTGTGTCCACATCCAGCTCAGTGATGACCACCAGGCCACTGCCGGAAGTGCCCCAGACTCCTGGGTTACAGGATGAGGCTGAAGGCCTCAGCCACACCCCACCCCCTCCAAAGTCCACATCCAGCCGAGCCATAACCAATCTGCTGCCAGAAGCCCCCTGGGCTTCCCTGCTGGAATGAGGGGGGTGCCATGGGCCTTGATCACCCCCCTTGTTCCCCCCATCTTATTCCCCTCCCCCTCCCCCTCTTTCCCTCCCCCAACTGCTCTGCAACATCTTAAAATGTAAAAAAAAATAATAATTTTTTAGAAAGTAATAAACTCAGAGTAGAAGGAAAGAAATAATGAAGAGCAAAAATTCAATGAAATTGAAACAAATGTGCACTAAAAGAAAATCAACAAAACTAAATGTTGGTGTTGTAAAAAACAGTAATAGAATTGATAAGCTTCTAGCAAGACTATTCATGAAGAAAAAATATTGTAAATTATCAGTGTCAGGAACAAAGAGGAGGCCAACCCCATATACTCTTCAGATATTAAAAGCCTTAAAAGAGGATATTATGAACAACTTCACACCTATAAATTTAAAAATTTAGATGAAATGGGCAAATCACTTGATAAGGCCTAAATTCCTTAATTGAGTTTTCAGCTTTTCCACTCCTTAGTTCCAACAACCTTTATAAGTCTATTTATCTTCCGTTCTAGTAGAAGTTATTTTGTTGAAAGAAAAGAAACTGTTAAAATTAGCACAATTTATTATAACAATAGGGAATTTCACACACATCCGAGGACAGGAGACTAGGTGTAGCCTAGTTTTGTGTGGATTGGAATTAATAAATCAGGAAGCAGGACTTTCCCCATATTTCTTATCTAGCAACAGCACAGTCTCCTGTGCCTAATTTTCTCTGGAGAGCAACTTTTCCTGCTTCTGTATTGGTGAAATTGTAGCCATTTGACTCAAGATGCCACAACTAGTTTCTGTGTGTTTTAGATGAAATTTCAAGAGAGAATCTTGAGACTACTGGCTAGCCAGCAGCTTGCCTCTTCCTTCCCCTGTTCCAATCATCCATAGCTAATAGGTTTCCCTAGGCTTACTCAGAAGAAACAATGGACTGAGCACAGGGCGAGCTAAAAGAGGATGTTTGGGATGTGAATCGACTGTCATGCTAACTACACCCATAACCTTGTTTTTTTTTTTTCCCCAGCAGTACTGCTGTTTCTAACCTGACAGGTTTTACCACTGTCCAGATTGGCTTCTTTTTTACCTCTCCTATCCTAAAGTTTGGTGAATTCTCTAGAATTGTAGACATTTCGAGAATATGCTTTTTTCTTCCTTACTGGTAGTTGACCATCATGTATACTGATTAGTGTTACTTTCATTTGCAACTGCCATTGCAGTGTTTTGATCTTCTATATATTCAATCTTCATGAATTTTTCTAGAGATTTGTGAAAGAGTGGAGTGAAAAATGAAAGTAATTATTAAATTCTCACTACAAATATGACCTCTTATATTCTTCCATTCTAAATGAGGAGTTCATAAGAAATGCTTTGGAGTATTAATAAAAAGACTGGTCAATCCCAACTGTTGAATGGTGTTACCCCTTTTCATGAAAATTGATTATTTACATTTAATACGAATTATCTGTTTCTGTGATTCTGTACTAGAATATGCTGACTTCTGGGATTTTGTTGTCATTTTCTGGCTTAAATATTTGATAATAGTTTTTAGAATTCTCTGGGGGCACCAAATTCAAGAACTTGTGGTTTGGACACATGATAAATCATGAAATTTGGGGTTCATTATTAGTTGTAAAACCTCCTCTGGAAGAACACAATAAGAAATCCTCCTAAACAAGTGGTATTAGACTGACTGTTTTTGCTAATGAGACAGGATTCTGTTCCTCATGTTTTGTAAGGGGACTCATTTTAATTAGCATGTTGATTGGGGTATTGAAGAGAGAGCTATATCTTAATGATCACATCCTATGATTCAATAGAAGCTCCTAACCCAAGTAACTCAGTATTAATGTTCTTTCCCTTTAGAGAGTAGGAAGTTAATATGATATGCTGTACCCTACACCTTCAGAGAAATAAAATATACACTCTGTATAATGAAAATGTACTTATTTTTATCTACTAAAATATTTTTCTTAGTCTTTATGAAATATATGTTTTGAATGAGTTGTTCTTTATGTATTAAAATGCTTACATTTTTGATGGAACTGCGGGCAAAATATCTTCAACACAAATTTTTTTTTTTTTCATATTTGATTTTTTCTTCTTCCTTGTAGGGTAGAGCCTGGATCAGAGTAGCACTTATGGAAAAGCATTTATCTGAATACATCTCTACAGCTCTGAGAGACTCCAAAACAACCAGGTTTAAAAGTCCTTTTAATTTTCTAATATATCTTTGAAAGAACCTAAAGATTTAGGAATCAGAATAGGATAAAGAATGGTTTAGTTTCTAAAGTCCTCAACTATTTTATTTCCTCCTTTTCTACCTGCTCAGATAAATCCTCTGTCTTCTTAGGAAAATGTAATTTGTCATCTAAATGTACATCTTCCTTGGTTTATGTGAAGGAAAAAAAAAAAACCACATTATGCCTGGAATATCCTTTTTTTGAGCCTTTTTTGATTCTCTTTCTATACTTGAAGCTTAGACTTTTCTCCCCATAAACTTTTCTTTGACCGATTTGTACAAAGATCTAACTATGAAATTTCTGTTGCATCTGTTCTTTCCACACCACAATGCTTATTTCTTTGCTTTTGTAAAAAATACAAATGAATCATTTACTTCTTTAATTCATATATAGAATTAATGATTACTCAATTGTCTTTTTAGGAAAGTCTCTACCAATGTTATTTTCCTTGGATTGTGTAGACTTAAGGGATAACATACTTTGCTACATGAAAAATAGGACTTTATTATTATTTATGGCTGTAGAAAAAAGGTTTATATGAGCACAACAGTTATTCCTATTTAGCTCTGGTCTACTGACCTATATTTGTTGCTGTTGAAGAAACCTGCTTTTCTTTATATCAGAAGTATTTGTAAATGAAAATATTTAATAATTTTAATACCTTAGACATGTACTGTCCAATACAGTAGCCACTAACCACATGCCACTATATAAATGAAAATTAATTAAGATTAAGTAAAATTGCAAATTTATCTTCTCAGTTGCTGTATCACATTTCAGGTGCTCAATAGCTACATGTGGCTAATGGCTGCCAAATTGGACAGCACAGATATGAACATTTTCTTCATCACAGAAGGTTGTACTAGGCAGCACTGCCTTAGGTAATTCTACATTACCATACTTATTTCTGTCTCATCATATTACTGATTAAAATAGTGACAAGCTATAAACCAGTTTTGATAGAGAAAATGGGTTCAAAGAAATCATATATATCAGGAATCTTAACTTCCAGGTCCCTGATGCAGTGTTTGACATTCTAGATTTTGAGAAAATCTGAGCATTTATTAAGATGTAGTCTGTCAGTTAACTAGCTGGTACAAATTACAATATTTTTACTCAGCTGCCTCTAGCTTTGTAGGTAATATAATAGCAAACTTTTAATTTGGGAGATACAAAGAAAAAAGTTATCATGATTATAAATTTGTATAGTACTGAGGATCCTAAGGCTTTGAAAATAAATATAAAGCATAGGGTCAGAATCTAGTAGATCAAACCTAAAAGTCCAAAGTTAATGAGCTCAAAACCAGTTTACACAATAATCTCCTATAGCATTACAATATTGTGTCAAAGTTATTATAGTTTTTTCTAAATAGAAATTAAAACATTAATAATCTAAGTTGTTAGTCTTGTTTCTTAGTTTGAATGATTGGGTGGGGTAGAAATAATTCTTAAATAGATTATTTTTAGAACAAGTAGTTTAAATATTTAAAGGGAAGTGGTTTTTTCCTTGTTCTTAGGTGTTAGCCATGCTTTTTGATAAAAAGGAAATGATTCAGCTCTAAAAAAGTCCATGAAGTAAAAAATATTCTTGAACAACATATAAACATACATTATTCAAACAGAAACATGGTTTTGTGTATAATACATATGTATATCCATACACACATGTACAATGTTTATATATATATAGGTATAAATAAATAAATATATATATATAGGTATATATACACACACACACACACACACACACGTTTATCTGAATAAGTGTTTAAATGTGAGTATAATGGCTCTGTAATTCCCAAGAAAGTAAGTAGGAAGTTATTCCAGAGTTCCCATCTTACAAGGTAACTAAAAAGTGCCGTGAAAAAATAAGAAAAAAAATTTTTTTTTTACCATTTACACTATTTTTTAAAACTGAAATAAAACCAGAGAAACTTCTTAATTCTAAGTAAATTTGATTACAAACCTCTACCCAAGACAATTATATTTGGAAGATTAAGTTTGTAAAGTAAAAGGAAACTGTTGGAAAAAATAGTTGTACCTTACCTTTTATCTGATGCTTCCTGAGATAAGTGTCTGTAAAAGGATGAGAAGTAATCTCTAATCCTTTAGGAATCTTGAGAGTATCTGAATCAAGTAGATTTCTTCTTGTTCTGCTCTTTGCAGATAAAGAGTAATGATATCCTTTAAAATGGTGATATAATTGTTTACCCCAGTAGAAGAGGAGGGGCTATGTGAGCTAAGGCAGGCAAGCTTGAAAGCACTAATCACTGAAAGTCCAAGTATAAGTTCGGTGGTGGAAGGGTGGGGAGCAGAAATAAACAAACAGTTTTCATGGAGTACATGACTATGGCCCCAAAGTATTAGAGAAATTCATATGATTTTTTTTTTGCTAAAGTGGAAGATGTTTTGGTAAACAACTAAAAAAAAAAAAAAAAAAAACCTTGAACAGTTTCATGGTTTAGGGATTTGGGGGTGTTATTGGGAAATAGCCAGATTTGGGAAGTTTGCAGAGTGAAGATTAGAATCTAAGCTAATAAAGAAAGAAAGAAAAAAAAAAAGTGGAGAATTGTTTTGGTAGGTTACTGGGAAGACCTATAAATGAGAAGTAAAGTAAAACTGAATTAATTTGCTCAAAGTTTCAATTTTTATCCACCCACATACTGAAATATAATTAGAGAAGTTAAACTAAAAAGTACAAATGTGATATCTGAAACAATATTGAAAATATTGGAGTAACAAATATGGAAGAATTCAAAGCAACAAATATGGAAAATAAATTCGCTTTATGGAAATGCATTTATTACTTTGCACTTACATCACCGTATTTATAATGACAAAAATTGTCTTCTGAAGAAATATTAATTTTCACAATATTTTAGTGGAAGGAAGGGAAGGAGTAAAGTATAAAATTCTGGGCTGTCACAAAGAGAAAAAAAATGATTTGATAAACGCTTTTCTCTATTATAGAAAAGTAGATAGAATAGTGATAAGTTACCAACATCTTTCAAGAGCTAAGAAAGACTTTAGGAATCTGAATATGTTTAAAAGTTTTACATTATTAGGATGAAAAAACATTCCAATTCTAACATTTAATAGAACACTATTCTATTAAAAGGTGCTTGTGGACTGTTACCTCACAGCATACACAAAAAATCCGAACGGATCAGACTTGAATATAAAACTCTTAGAAGAAAACATAGATGTAAATATTGTTTGGATTGGGCAGTAGTTTCCTAGATATGATAGAAAATGTACAAAAAATAAAACACAGAATAGATAAATTGGGCATAATCAAAATTTAAATCTTTGCGCTTCAAAGCACACCATCAAGGAAGTGAAAATATGACCCACAGAATGGGAGAAAATTTTTACAAATCATGTATTGGATAAGGGACTTGTGTCTAGAATATATATAAAGAATTTTTAAGGGGCCAGCTGGTTAGCTTAGTTGGTTAGAGTGTGGTGCTGATAACACCAAGGTCTAGACTTTGATGCCTATACCAGCCCGCTGCAAAAAAAAAAACCCAATTTTTACAACTCAGTAATAAAAACACAGCCCATTTAAAAAATGGGCTAAGAATCTGAATAGACCTTTCTTTAAAGAAGATATATAAATGGCTAATAAACCCAAAATACTGCTCAACATTATTAGCCATCAATGAAATGCAAATCAAAACCCCAGTGAAATACTACTGCATACCAACTAGGATGGCTGTGCTCAAAAGATCACATAATGATAAATGTTGGTGAGAATTTGGAAAAATTGTATCCCTTAGAAGTTGCTGGTAGGAAAGTAAATGACAGTTCCTCAAAAGGTTAATCCCAGCACATGACTCCTGTGTATGGGTGTGTGTGTGTGTGTGTGTGTGTGTGTGTGTATCCAAGAAAATTGAAAACGTGTTTACAAAAAATGTTTATACGTAAACGTTTTTTGCAGCATTATTCATAATAGCCAAAAAGTAGAAACTGCCTAACTGTCCATTAACTGATGAATAAATAAATTGTGATAAATCCATACAATGGAATACTATTCAGTCATAAAAAAGAATGAAGTACTGATACCTTCTACAACATGGTTGAACCTTAAAAACATGCTAAGTCAAAGAAGCCAGTCACAAAAGACATTGTATGATTCCATTTGTATAAAATGTCCAGAGTAAGTAAATCTATACAGACAGAAAGTAGGTTAGTGGTTTCCTGGGCTGGGTAGGGAGGAGGAAGTGATTGGAGGGGAATAGGATGTGACTGCTAATGGGTACATGGTTTCTTTTGAGGTAATGAAAGTATGTTAAAATTGATTGTGGTGATAGTTGCACAACTCTGAATATGTTCAAAACCATTGAATTGTACTTTAAATGGATGAATTATATGGTATGAGGTCTAGGATGTTTAAAAAAAATTTTTTTAAGGCTTATTGAAGTTATATGTGGGATAAGAAAAGTAAATAATATAGGTTTTTATAACTGAAAGAAGGAAGATTAATGAGTTCCACTATTGCACAGGGAAAACAGAAAACCTCAAATTTCAGGTTGTCTTTAGAATGGCTCAGTTTTTGAGTTCTGATTAGTATTCACCTGTTGTCTTTTTGTCTTACCAATAAAAATAATTTTTGTCTTATTAAGTTCCTGAAAGCTCTTTTAATAATTTTTTGAAAACTTGTTCTTGTTAAATTTGCATACAAGGAATGATTTCACATATTACTGGAAACAAGAAAAAGCTTCAGGACATGTATGGCATTATTCTATAGTAAAGATAAGAATAACCTTTCTGGTCTTCTATACAGACCTGTGACCTTTTAAAATTGCTATTTTGAGAGAACTAGGTATTTCTATCAACTTAGTACAGTACCTTCTTTCATTTTTTTGTTCTCTGAAACTTGATTAAATTTCTTAGCTTAGTTTTGCTCTATTATCATTCCTGTCCAATGGACTAATCTTTATTTTCTGTGTGCTTC